TTGGCACTCCAGACGGATTCCTGCTGAAAACAGACAAAAGCAAGGGCTTTAGTCATTTGACAAAGGGCATAAAGGACGCAATTCCGCCACCTGACCATGCAACTCTGAACATTGAGGATGGTAATGCAATGTTCTATTGCATGAGAGATGTTCCACCAACATTTAAACAGATCGGCGAAAAGCTGCTTGATAAGAGCACAGGAGGGAAGTCGGAAGTTTTATTCAGTACAGACATGTATAAGGACGACTCAATAAAATCGATGGAAAGACGCAGCAGAGGATGTGGAGAGAAGAGGATAATTCAAGGCGAAAACACAAGAAGACCAGAGAATTGGAAAGAATTCCTGGGCAACGATAACAATAAACAACAGCTGATTACCTTGCTTCTCAAGATCCGGAGTAGCCCGGAATGCAGTAGGAAATTGCAGAAAAAAGAAGTTATCGCCATATGTGAAGAAAAAGCCTATATTTTAACATCAGATGGTAAAACAGTTGAAAAGTCTGAGATTCTATCTCTTGAGTCTGACCAGGAGGAGACAGATACCCGGGTGGTGCTCTACTGCTCATTTGCTGAACAGGAAAAAAACCAGTTCGTACGAGTCAGGAGTCCCGACAGCGACATAGTTTTCATCTTGCTCTATTACGCACCCAACTTCAACATCTGTATTCTGTTTGACACGGGCTCTGGTAATCACAGAAGACTGCAAGATGTACAAAAAAACGACTAAAGCATCAGCAGTGAACGAGGTCCGATATGAAATGCTTGCTTCGAAGTGAGGGGGACAAACAGGAGTGGAAATAAAGCTTGAAAGAAAAGTAGACCTGTCATCTCTTCCACCCCCAAGATCATGCCTCAACGAACACATCAGAAGAGTGAACTACCAGGTCGGCATTTGGAAGAGAGCACACATCCCGAAACCAATAATTCCCGCGGCAACGGATGATCATGGGTGGGTGAAGCGTAATGGCCAAATCGAACCGAAATGGAGCGGCGGGGATGTAATCCCACCCAAATTGGCAGATGTACTTGAGAAAATGGAATGCGATGATGATGATGAAGGTCAGGATGATAGCGAAGCAGAGATTTCAAGTAGTGACAGTGATGATGACTAAGATACACAAAGATATCATGGGTCTTTTTTATGTATACTCTGGCAAATCATGGTCAATTCAGTTGTAAATATTGATAAACGCAATTTTGATTTGGTGTTGTCATGTAGTCTGAAAGAAATTTGGCCTTTATTGACCTATTTAGCGGCATGAGTACAAAACTTCAGAATTGGTGAACAAAAACTTTGTTGGGGCAGTTTAGTACTAATAAGCAGTCATTTTGGTGACTTCGTAAATAAGCCCTTTTTCTCTTTGTCTCAAAATGATTTTGTACTAAAATAATTAAACATGGGTGATTTGTAATTGTCAAATCCTATCTATAATGAAGAATTCCAAGTATTATAATGAGAAAATTGCATGTTATCATCTGTTTTTAGTGGGATTCACAAAGTAGTGCCCAATTTCAAGCAACCTTTTGACCCCTGGTGACCTACTAAGTAGTCTCATTTGCATAAAACCAAGTGCAAAGTGTAGAGGGATCCCAAAGACACATTTTGAGGGGTCAACCATTATTATACACCTATTCTACTTGGAGCTATGGTCATTTTAATTTCCCCTACCCCAATTCTTTTTTTCGCACGCTTTGTGGTGACAGTTACATATAAACTACCTAGAAAAGTTAGTGAGACCCAATTTTTCGCGTGGTAACATATAGAATATTTACATATACATAATAACCTTCCAGAAAAACATCACCTTGTAGTTTCTAGGGGGGGGGGGGTGCAAGGTGAGCCCCTCCAGCCCATGGACTAGTTGTTTTTATACGCCGTATATTGTCGTCGCCCCTGTCCGTTCTTCCGTTTGTGGACTCTCTACAGGTCACAATTCTTATCCGATTTTGACGAAACTTGAAATATAGCTTTATCACCAAACGATCTCGGTTGCGTGCGATATTGGCATGTATCGGATCGAAACTACATGGATTATGGCCCCTGATTGTACGACAAATCACGTTTTTTTGGCTTGTGGACAGTCTAGAGGGTACAATAATTTTCATCTGATTTAGATGAAACTTAAAATGCATGTTTATAACCCAAAGATCTTGGTTCCTTTCGATATTGTCGCATATCGGATCGTAACTCCTTGAATTATGGTCCCTGATTGTACGAAATATCGCGTTTTTAGCTTATGGTCCCTCTAGGGGTCACAATTATTATCCGATTTAATAAAAAAAACATTCCGTTCGAATATATCACCGTTACACCGTAATGATGGTTGAGTTCAAATTTCGTGAAAATCGGACCAAAACTGCCAGACAAATTGGCCGCCCCTCATACGCTAATAGTGTAAAAAATACGGTATATCAAAGTTGTGGAGCCTCTAGAGGCCACAATTTTGATCCGATTTTGATGAAACTTTTAATCGCTCCTTTCGATAATCGTGACAATCGAACCGAAACTGCCTGACACACTGGCCGCCCCTCGTACGCAAATTTTGTACAAGTATTTAATAATAAGGTTGTTGTCTTTTTGTTTTGCTACAGCCGACTAATGCCATCGTTAAACAGATAGCACCTCCATTAAATCTAATGGCAAGTTAATGACACGTTAAAGTTAACGGGGCTTCCAGAACAATCTTTCTCTCCGTTAAAGTTAACGAAAGCTATGGTGTCAGCTCTGCTCCGATGACACAAACAATTTTTTGTACAATCAGGGGCCATAATCCAGAAAGTTATGGTCTGAAATGCACAAATATCAAAAGGGACTGAGATTTTTGGAATATAAATATATGTTTTAAGTTTCATCAAAATTGGATGAAAATTGTGACCTCTTGGGGGTCCATAACCTTTGAATTACAATTTGCATACAAAGAGCGGCCATTTTGTTGTGCAGTTCATTTCGATTTCCCCGAAATTTCAATTCAACCTTCATTATGGTGGAATGGTGATCTAAACGGTTTTTAAAATCTGAAGAAAAAAAATTTGACCTCTAGAGAATCCACAAGCTAAAAATGCGATTTTTCGACCAATCAGGGGCCACATTCCAGGAAGTTACGATCCGATATGCACGAATATCCTAAGGAACCAAGATCGTTGGGTTATAAACATGCATTTCAAGTTTCATCAAAATCGGATTAAAATTGTGACCTCTAGAGAATCCACAAGCTAAAAACGCGATTTTTAGACCAATCAGGGGCCATAATTCATGAAGTTGCTATCCAATATGCGCGAATATCGAAAGCAATCAAGATCTTTGGGTTATAAACATGCATTTCATGTTTCATCAAAATCGGTACAAAAATTGTGACCTCCAGAGGGTCCACAACCTTGATATACCAGATGTTTACACTATTTGCTTACGAGGGGCGGCCATTTTGTCCGGCAGTTTTGGTCCGATTTTCACGAAATTCGAACTCAACCATCATTACGGTGTAACGGTGATATATTAATACGTTTTGTTTTAAATCGGATAATAATTGTGACCTCCAGAGGGACCACAAGCTAAAAAAGGCGATTTTTCGTACACTCAGGGACCATAATTCAGGAAGTTACGATTCGATATGCGCAAATATCGAAAGGAACAAAATCTTTGGGTTATAAACATGCATTTCAAGTTTCATCAAAATCAGATTAAAATTGTGACCTCTACAGGGTCCACAACCTTGATATACCATATTTTTACACTATTCGCGTACAAGCAGCGGCCATTTTGTCCGGCAGTTTTTTTTACATTTTCACGAAATTCGAACTCAACTTTCATTACGGTGTAACGGTGATATATTAATACGTTTTTTCTTTTAAATCGGATAAAAATTGTGACCTCTGGAGGGACCACAAGCCAAAAACGCGATTTTTCGTACAATCAGGGGCTATAATCCATGAAGTTACGGTCCGATACATGCCAATATCGAAAGGAACCGAGATCTTAGTGAGATAAACCTATATTTCAAATTTCGTTGAAATCGAATAAAAATTGTGACCTGTCCACAAACAAATTGTGGGCAGACGGACGGACGAACAGCGGCGACGGCATAAAAGGGAATTTGCTGAAAATTTCAGTCAAATTGATCCACACTGAACAGAGTATTTAGCGATGGAAATTTGGGCCTAGCCTCGATCATCATTACTAAAGTCGGTACGATAAAAAACACAGTCTTAATTATCCATTGTTTGATTTAATCAGCAGCAGCAGACCGGGTTCTAATCCAGTAAATATATCAGAGGCTAGCGATGACATCGAGAGTTGTTAATGGTCTGGATAAGTTAATTAATGTCTACTTAATAATTTCGATAACATTTCAGGCCTACAGAAAGACCTGCAATTGACAGATTGAGCTCTTGCATAATGTATGTTTAATGTTCTGGGAATAATCATCCACCGCGATGAGAGTGACGTGTGCAACTTTATGCATATTTTTCTGCAATGTATGATTTAACGTTTGATTTGATGTCAGTTAATGTTTTACAGTGAATTTTTGTGGGTTTAACAGCACTTCAGTCATTTCGCGTAATCCCCGACCATGACTGGAATTTCTAGTCATTGCACGTATTGCCTGACGCTCACAGGCATTTCACGTAATGACTGATTCATTAGTCATTACATGAAGTGACTAATTACACAAATTGACTGTAACATATACACACAATAATAAGGATTTAGTTGGTATACGATGAACAATAATAAGGATATTAATATACGATGAGCAATACTAAGGATAAAGTGTATGCTGATAAAGATAGTATGCGATTACATGAACAATAATAAGGATAATACTAAGGATGGTATATGATGAACAATAATAAGTAGTATACAATGACAAACAATAATAAGGAAACACTTGTAATATCAGTATATGAAAGCAACTAGGGTTGATAGATGATTTATTAGTAGTTTAGGTATGAGTGTAATTAAAATCGGCGATACTGGATTTATCGTCTGTTATTTTTGCAGACGAGTTGAATTATGAAGATTATCTCGATTCCGTTCTTTCAGATCCAATACCAAAAAATATGTCAAAGGCTGGTGAGTTGTCTTAAATATTTCCACTGAGTCTCAAATCTACACTGATAGTGTGATTTTTGTGCACACCTATATTGTGATGTCGTCCCTCTGCTTGTCCCCCTATTGTGATATATTGCAGCTTCTTAAACACGATAGCCCTCGGCTTCTGAAATCCAAGTCCAAACCACTGCTCCAGTTAACTGTGGGTTTAGAACAATATATATCTAACGAATTTTTTTGATTTATGGCAACACTGATAGAAATTATTTCTGTTACAAGAATATTAAAATTTCTGTTCGTTCAAATTATTTGTTTCTTGACAATCTATAGTTTAAAGCTGTGCTTGTCGCTGTATATTTAAATCATATAAGTACAGCAATGTGTTATAATAGTGGTCTATTCTGCTGCTTTTCAAATTGCTTAAAGGCACCAAACTACACAATAGGGCTGCCTATGATTATTATGTGCGACATAAGTCTGTATTATAGCTGTTTTCAGTCATCTTAAACTAATGTAGATCTCTGTTCCACTTTCAAGGAAGGCCAAACATGAACACTGTCAATATATTGGATTTTATATGTTGATATGTTTTGATTTATGTCCATCTGTCTTCGTTAGAAAAAATACACGTGCGCCTATGGATAAGCGAATATTAAGATAGATCATAGATCAAAATTTAGAGATTATATTTCTTTTATCGCATTACATTGATTATCTAATTACATTTTTATCAAATTAAATTTGAAAGGAGTGCAGCTCTTCAATCATCGAAACGTAACATGACCTAGATTCCCATGTCCGCCTCCCACATGTCACGGTGTCGTCTTTGAGACTGACAAGGAAATATCTTTCGATCGAATTTGGCGGTAAACCAAAAATCCAGGTCCACTCGTGTACACAATCGCGTGGACGTAAGAGTGGCACTCACAGTTGAACTTCCATGAACAGTACAAATATCCGGGGAAAATTCTCCATACCAACATAGTAATGCAAGTGCAAGTCTCAACCTAACACATATATTAAAATTTATTTCCCTTCAAGTTTAAATAAGAAAAAAGAAAGCCGATGAAATTATAATTTTATTTCTACAGATTGTCGTGCTATGGGATATAAAGAGAACAGTTCCTCTTGGCATCCTGTTGTTAGTGCATTTGGTGAAATGAATTGTATAACCTGCAGATGTCTGGTATGTTTCTTTATGCTACAGTTGATTATATTATACCAATCGTACTGATTGTAATATAATGCCATATCAATTAAAGATGACAAAATAAAACTACATTTTTATGTTAACGTTTTCACCGCGATAGCGGCTCTTCAGACATTTGTTAAACTATAATTCAATTAACAATAGTTTATGACGTCACAACGTCATAGTTACTTACATTATAAATTATACAGGCAAGGGAAGTTACTCTGTAGCCTACAGACTACCATCTTCAATAGAAGGCTCGATCTCGCTTTAACTACTTACATCTTATCAAGGCCTTCACGTAATACCCTGCATATTTCGGCACTAATTTCGATGGGGTATTCACCCAGCTTGTGAGCCTATCAGATTCCTCAATCAACGCGAATACCAAGTCTCGCGCTTTCCAGCTAAAATGTCTAACTGTGATAATCGAGTTGCAAAGTTCAAGGTTCGTTCAATGTCAAGGTTTCCGTGGAGGTCGCTTTGTCACAACCTCTGATTATAATATAAAATAATAATTGATTTAAGGCAACTATTTTAGTGTTATGTTGTGCACAGACGACCTTGACATCAACAGAAAGCAAGAATACGTCTCGCCGAAAGTCCTTGACATTGATAACGTTCGTGATGTCACAGTACCTCCCAAAATGAAATTCACAGACTTGGAGAACAATCGGAATAAAGTGTTTAGTAACGGTTGTGGCCTCCTCTAGCGTCTCGTACTGCCACACAACGTCTTCTCATGGATCTCAGAACATTACTAAACACTACCCGAGGAAGACGTCGCCACTGCTCAGCAAGAGCATTTTGGAGGTCCTGCAACGTCAGTGGTGGATTCACTTGCTGACGCATACTTGAGCGTAACGTTCACCTCGTCTGCGGTACACTCGGACCCTGCCATCGGCAAATCTCAAAGTGAATCGAGATTCGTCACTAAAGAAAACCGAATTCCACTGTCTTTGAGTAAATCTTATGTGTCTTGTGGCCTACACAAGTCGGTTACGGCGATGAAGAGGTGTCAATATTGGTCCATTATAGGGCCTCCGAGCTCGAAGGCCAGCAGCCTGCAAGCGATTTCAAACAGTTTGTGCAGTTACCCTTCCACCAAACATCTCTCTACTTGTGGAGGTTGCAGTGACAAATCTGTTTCTAAGATGACGTAATCGTATTGCTTGATCTTCCTGGAGTGACGTCACACGTGGCACTCCCGCCCTTGGGTGGTCGGCAATAGTTCCAGTTTGAAGCACTCTCATTCTAAGATTAATTATTGTCTGGCGTGAACAATTAGAGACTCTTGCAACAGTGACCACAGACTGACCAGCATAGAGCCTACCTATAGCACGTAGACGTTCTACATTTGAAAGGCGCGGCATTTTCTAACAAAGATGAAAATAACAATTTTAATTTGTTTTTCCAGTTCAAGTTACGTGTGCGGACTTTACAATTTTATGAAATTAAAGACTTCTTACTACTTACTATCGTTAGAAACACTTTAAAATTTATTTGACTTACCAAAACATAATATAATAATATAATATAATATAATATAATATAATATAATATAATATAATATAATATAATATAATATAATATAATATAATATAATATAATGTTTATTTCAGTAATAAGATCATAGACCTAAAGTACAATTTTAAGAAACACTTTAAACAGGTGGGTGACAGCAAGTGTAGATAAATTTAACAATTTTATGATAACAGTATAACAATTCATTTCTTTACATTTCCAATTGTCGATGTGATAATGCGACATCCATATACTGGGATACAGATTTTAATAATCCGATGTCAATTGACGTGCAGATTTTGATTAGTGCCGCTGAACACAGCTAGGGTGTTTATATAAAGTATCTGGAATATACAGATATCGTATATTGCTCAAATTTGGACATATGAACAGAAAGTGATAAAGGGTTTCAATATCTGATTTACACAGCGGACAAGCCCGGTCAATATTAAGATTCCTTCTGCATAGAATTGTGTTCAATCGTAACAAATTTAACCTGAGTCGAGTGATGTTTCGTTTAAAGTGTATATTAAGATATTGTTCTTGGCAAATGTTTATATTCATTTAATGATTCACTGGAATCGAGCTTAGAAGACCATTCCGATATCCTACCAGCACTGTCTATGCTTCTAAGCATTAAAAAAACTTGCTTTGGATACCTACTTAACGGCATTCTGATGACCTTGCACCAATATTTTATACTGTTTGTCATATACATGAAAGATAGATTTTGACGTCCACATTCTCCAAGGACACCAGCATTTGAAGTACTTTTGTATGACCCCAAAAGAAATTTACAGAAATTGGATTGGACACGTTCAATATCGGGTCTGTATTCGAATCCCCATATTTCAGATCCATACAATAATATCGGTCTTATTATATAGTCAAATATCTTAAAGGATGTTTTCAAATATGGACGACCAACATTTCTGATTAGTCCTTTAATTGGAAGCAACGCCTTTTTAGCCTTTAGCGCAAGATTAGAAAAACAAATTCTTAAGAAGATGACAGTCATCATCAAACCATGGGGGCTGTTGTTTTGTGACCTTGCAGTTTTTTGGGGGTATCCGGATCAACAGATTTCTCTACGTCGCATTTGATAATGTCATAGACTTTTTTTTCGAAATTATTGAAATTTTCAAGAATATTTCTTGTATTATAGTATTCTGCCCTTCTGGGCTTCCATACTAGTCTAGAATATTTCTGCCTATTAACTGTCTCAGAAACTGTTGGTTCCTGTTTGGGAGAAACGTGTATATTAAAGGTTAAGGGTAGATGATCTGACTCTGTCCTGGAAGAAACCTGAAAACCGGTGATAATATCAAACACATTTTGTGACACAATTAGATAATCAACGACGCTGGTGCCATTATATCTGATACAACTGTGTAGGCCAGCCGAGTCATTTGGTTTCCGACCATTTACAATGTGGATATTGTAGATTGAACACAAGCTTAAAAGTCCGAAAGAAACTGTTGGTTCCTGTTTGGGAGAAACGTGTATATTAAATGTTAAGGGTAGATGATCTGACTCTGTCCTGGAAGAAACCTGAAAACCTGTGATAATATCAAACACATTTTGTGACACAATTAGATAATCAACGACGCTGGTGCCATTATATCTGATACAACTGTGTAGGCCAGCCGAGTCATTTAGTTTTCGGACATTTACAATGTGGATATTGTAGATTGAACACAAGCTTAAAAGTCCGAAAGAAACTGTTGGTTCCTGTTTGGGAGAAACGTGTATATTAAAGGTTAAGGGTAGATGATCTGACTCTGTCCTGGAAGAAACCTGAAAACCTGTGATAATATCAAACACATTTTGTGACACAATTAGATAATCAACGACGCTGGTGCCATTATATCTGATACAACTGTGTAGGCCAGCCGAGTCATTTGGTTTCCGACCATTTACAATGTGGATATTGTAGATTGAACACAAGCTTAAAAGTCCGAAAGAAACTGTTGGTTCCTGTTTGGGAGAAACGTGTATATTAAAGGTTAAGGGTAGATGATCTGACTCTGTCCTGGAAGAAACCTGAAAACCTGTGATAATATCAAACACATTTTGTGACACAATTAGATAATCAACGACGCTGGTGCCATTATATCTGATACAACTGTGTAGGCCAGCCGAGTCATTTGGTTCCCGACCATTTACAATGTGGATATTGTAGATTGAACACAAGCTTAAAAGTCCGAAAGAATTTGTCTGCTTATCCTGTGAGTTTCTTTGAAGATCAAATTCGTCAATATCATAGAAAGCATCATCTAAGCATGGTAAATGTTTGACTGAATCGCTGAATAGATGATCATGCAAAGAGCCATCACCGGTTCTGGCATTGAAGTCACCGACTAAAGCAAATTCACAAGTTGTATAGTCTGTCACAAGTTCAAAAAGTTTATCTTCTAACAAGTCATTTCCACACTGTTTATCATGGACAGGGGAATTTTCCGGTGCCACATACACTGTTCCATATACAAGATCACAATTGAAATTAAAGAAGTCTCCATACCTTTAGCAATACCACCACGCCTGTGATTTTCGCGTAGACAAGTAAAATATTTGTGATTTGTGAACACATCCTCAAAATTAACCGCCTCATCACCACACCATGTTTCAATAAGACTAATAATATCATAGTTTGATAAATAAGAAATAAATTCACCATCGTCAAGGTGTCTCTTCAACCCATTAATTACATTCCACGATATACATTTCACGGGATTATTGTTACTATTTGTATCACTTGCACGTGTGTTGACCTGACGGGTCTGACCTATACATTTCAGTCTTGCTCGAAATCCCCAAGTGAGAATATTTTACCATCAATAACAAGTTTGTTAAATTTTAGGTTAGAACTCCTACCCTCTTCCCTAGCAGCCAACATGTGAGCGATAAGTTTTTTTCGGGTTTGTCGGACATTATAAGAGAAGTCGTTAAATATTTTAATATCAGAGTCCAATTCTTTGACACCGGAAACACAACAGTTTTATCGCTACCACTTTTAAACTTCACTAAGACCCCTTTATCTTTCAATAAATAACATTTCTCAACATCGATAGATCGCTTAATGTCTCTATAAACAGTTTTGTAACAACCGTCTCACATCCCTTTCTCTGTTCTTCAAAATTACCGATGACATTAACTTTTAATCCGCGAATTATCACATTGTTTCTTTTGGCCTCATTCTCAAAATTATTAAATTTCTGTTGTAAATCAACAATCTGACCCGCTTGCTTCTGATTTATTCTTTTAAATTCAGCGTTAGATTTTCTTAAAGTTCGTATTTCATTGTTTAAGCTCCTTACCTCTTCTGTTAAACTGTTGACCTGATCGGCTACACTTTTGATCTCCTTCACGCCATTTTTCACTTCTTTCATGTCATGCAGCGCTTTCACCATGTCGGCAATACTATAATCTTCAACCTCTCTAACTTCCTCCAAATCGCCTTTTCCCATCCC